ACAGTAGTTCTTCTGCCTTAGTGTCTCGGTCTGATTGCATTTCCATAAAGTAATAATCATAAACGTTCTTCCTTGAGCTGCGTCATCCTGCAGCAGTCCGTAATGGACTGGCCTGAGTTCTCGCTACAAACAAGCAGCTGCTGGAAGAGAGTAGGTGAGTTGTGATTAGTCTCTTTGCTAAAAAAAAAAAAAACAGGCAAAGCTAAAAAGATGTTTGGTGGCTTGTACTATGGCTGGTCATACAATGCTTCTTAGTCATACAAAGACTGAAAAAAACATCTAAGGCTGGACGTTGGGGCCCACTTAGCTCCCATTTTCCAACATTAGCACGTTGGCTACTGTCACACAAGCTGCTGTTGTAATATCACTGTCTTTGTCTTCAGCTGCAACTGTAACGATAGTGTCTTGTCAGAGCATCTGTATGTTTTTATGTTGGCTGTGTAAAGAAGTGATTAATTTTCTCACCTTTTCTGCCTCTTAAATTTACTTTTGATGGTAATTTTAGTAGTCAGAGGAATAATCGTTAGAGTTATTAGTCATGACAAACTTAATATTTGTAAGGACCTTGTGATTGCATTTTTTTTGTTCTTTACTAGGTGACATGAGCCCTATTTTCCCATACGTTTGCGTGTGTTTGACAGATGAGGAGAACAGTTTCGAACAGACAATTGTCAAACTGAGTTCACTAAAAGAGCTTCATTTTTCACCACTTTTGGTTGAAATGTGCCTTTAAAGGCTTCTTCACTCTCCTGCTGTAGGTTCTGGAAAAGCAGAGGAAATATCTTCATCAGGACCATGTGCAGGGCTTTGGACAGGAGGACCTGCAGCTCTGAAGGACATGAGGGAAACACGGAGTGAATAAAAACTGTAGTGACATGTGCTGTTGGCGGCTTTTCAGAACCAAGTCCTGTCTCCTTTGGTTAACCCTGAGGGTGGTCACTACCTGTCCTGTACTGTACTGTGAGTCAGACACTGCACAGCTGGATCATCAGGGTTGTGATCTGTTATCTGTTGGAGTCTGGCCAGCTTGTCTCTTGAAAGCGAAAGCTCTTAAAAACATGTTTTTAGGTTTGAACTTTGTATGATGTGTACTGTACTTCCACAGAATCAGGTACACAACCATCAGGGTCAGTGGGTCCTTTTTTTCCAATTTGTGAGGTCTGTGAAATGAAAACGTTAATCTCTGTTTGACAGATCAGGTTTGAACGCCTCTTTAAAATCATTACTTAATAGTTCTGGTGAAATGTTTCCTTGTCTGTACACCAAACTCTGTGTGCACACACACAGAGACCAGCTGTCATTTACACAGCTGTGCTGCTCTGGAGTCCAGCCAGAGGTTTTTAATTCCACACGTGCTCAGAAGGAACACTACGCGTGAAACCCAAAGAGAGAAGAGGGCACCAAGAGAAAATATACTCTGAATTTAGAGTTAGATTTCACTTAAAAGTAGAGTTTTAATTTGCTTGAGTTTCCCAATTTCTGCAACCATTTACAATGTTTATGTCTTGTTGTGTAAAAGGTATTTTGCTATTTTTAATAAAGGATCAGAGAATTGTATTGTAAATATTTGTTGACTGAAAATTGATGATTTCAGTTTGATGTTGTTGATGTTTCCAACTGTAGGCTAACGCATTAGCACTGTAAAGTAGGGTGATAATGTCTATGATAGAGTCTGCACACGCTCGGTCTTCTTGTTTCAAACTGCTCCCTTAAAGATGTTACTTAAAGATGACACACAGCCCTTACAGCTGAGACCTCAGACAAAAAACACTGAAACCATCTCTTTGTCAGACCATCATTGAAGAAAAATGTGAGGAAAATACCACTACAGAAATCATTTTCATCTTCCTGTCACCATCACTAAGATAATAATTTATCAAGAATAAAATGTTTCTGATATTTTTTTAAAAGATAGGAATTACCAGGTCTCCGACTGGGAATTCACCTTACAGCTGGTACGATGAAAACTATAGCCTCTGCATATGGATGCATGGTCAACCATCTGAGCCAAACCATTGTCCTTTTTTTGAACATATGTAATATAAAATGTAATATAAATTAAAATGGCAAAACTAAACATGTATTTTGGTGAAATTTTGGTCAAATGAAGATAAAACATATTTTCAGGCCACTGTGGTGTCATTGTGTCACTCTCAGGTATCCCAGGTCTGGTGTTTGACTCTAAATGAGACTATAATAGGAAGAATTGGCATCATGTATTATAAAGACTTAAAACTAAACATTGAGACTATGAACTCATTTGAAAAATGTTTGCTGTACCAACTAAGAAGACTGACTTTTAAACATAGGAGTCGGCCCACGTTGGATATTAGAAAGGATACAAGCTGATTCTGGATTGGATCCACTTTGCAGACCCTGATATTACACCAAATTGGGAAGAGATGTATCATGTGAGTTGTACAGTTTGGAGTTTTTAAATTGTGACTGACACAGAAAAATCATAAAAAGTAATAAAATAAATATTAAAAATGTACTCTTTTGCTGAGGAACACAAATCTCTGAAGCGCCTGTAAGGGACAAAAATATTGGAAAATACTCAGGTCTGTATAATCTGTATGCTTGGTTTACAGAGTTTCCACATGACAAATGTGACTGTGTATTAAGTTAACTCTAAAATAAGAGAAATTGAACTCACTGACTTCCCAGTTTATCAAACATTAACCAGCCTGTGTTATTGCTGCAGATTAAAATAGTTAAAATCTGTTCATTTTCTATCTATGGTTTAGAAAATGTGCATTTTGGCTAAAAGAAGTTGAATCAACACAAATCTTGACTGATATTTTATGGTTAAATTAGTTGTTACAAAGGACAGAGTTAAAAAATCAAACAGCTGGTGGGTGAGTTTAATCAGAGATGATCATCTGAAAAGGTCAGCGGAGGACGTCATGTTTTGGACAGGTAACCATGTCTCATCGATGTGACCATGTGTCTCCACTGAAGCACGTTACTGTTAATGTGACCAGCTGTTTTACCAAACATCCACCTGTGTTTTCACAGCTGTTACGGGAAAGAAAAAAAGAAAACAGTGACGTCAGGCATCCTCTGTCCTGTTATCATCAGCACTTGAACCAGAACTGTTTGAGACAGACTGTGTCCAGCTTCTGAGACAAACACAAAGACCTGCTCCTGTTTGACCTTACAGAGAGACATGTAGACCACGTCTCTGCTTTATACTCGTCCTACAGCGCTCTCTGCTGTCTGAAACACTTCAGACCACAGACAACCATAAAAACTCTGATATTCTCAGGTGAACTGATCCAGTTTTCAGCCTCAGATCAGACCAAATCTACATCATATCATAAAAGGATGACGATTTTAGAAGCAGATGTTGCTAAACTTTGTGTAAAGTTATAATCATAACATACTTTTTAAAAATAACATTCCCCTTAATAACAAATCAAGCCGTCATTCTTGCATTCTTATGTATTTTATGGTCAAACAGGATGGAGGCTTGTGAAAGTTAGTGATGTGAATATGTCTGTTACAATAAAATTAAGTCATTTACATTTAAAACACACAACATAGGTGTATTATAGTACATATATTTGGATCACTTCACAATAAAGTAATTACTTCCAAATTTGGTTATCTAATTGGAAAAAAATATGATATAGGGTGATAAGATAAATGAAAACCAGAATATAAGGACACAAAGATGAAACACTGACTGATAAATTAGCAAGGAAGAGAATATTTTTTGTTTAATTCAATTGTAGAAAAGTTAAAATGTAAAGAAAAACAATCGATTGAACAAATAAATGTAATAAAAACAGATTTATCTTTAACAATCCAAAGATAAGCCTTTGGCTAAAAGGGGAAAAGAAAAAGTATGCAAAAATATAAACCTTGCAAAATAAAAATAATTTTTGAAAAATTGAAAAAAAAAACATTTTTTAAATGAAACATATCAAATGAAATCTGAAAACATTACTCTCATGTTTTGTGAGACTGTTAAAGTATACGTTTTTATTTCTCAAATGTAAAAAACTAATACATTTTGCATCTGCTTTGCTGATTTTAAGAAGTTTTTACTAGTTTTGTACAGTCAACAAAGCTTTTGAATGCCTGTGTTTTTGTTTTGAAATTCCCAGTGAGGCTGTGAAGATGGGTCCTTCATTTCTATTTTTTTATTATAACTTTTTTAACATTTTCTATTCAATCTAAACACTGAGTAGGCCTATTGTAGGGCCTCCATCAGAGCTGGCACAAGGCATAAGCCAACTAAGCACCTGCTTAGGGCCCCGCGGCCAGTAGGGGGCCCCCAAAATCAATCAAAAACAAACAAAAAAATTAAAATATATTTTTTTTTTTGCATGTATGAGTGATGCTTTTTGTATGATCAAATATATATTATTGTAAAAATAAAATAAAGTTAAAACATTTTAGTGCTGCTGATGTAGGTCTATGATTCTTACTGCCAATGACACTTTTACAGTAAAAACAATGCTTTATCACTTGGAATATTGTGAAAATCAACCTCAAAACACTCTTGTAGCTGAATGTGTTACATTTTGAGATTAAAAACTATATGTGGCAACCATATGTGAACATCATTCATCAGTCATTCATTGGTATTATTTGTATGGTTTGATTGGTATTATTTATGTTATTGCCTAGACCACCCCCTTAAATGTGGAAACATCAAGTGCATTAAATTTGTACTGTATTAGGTGTGTGACTGATCAACAATCAACATATTGGCAGAAATAGAGGGCCCAAAATCAAATCTGTTTAGGGCCCCATTAAGGCTTGGGCCGGCTCTGCATCCATCCTTAGTAAATTTTTGTAATGTAACTGGACATCAGCGCAGAAAGATGGCCAAAATAAACTTTGGAAAAAGATAAATAAAAAGATAACAAAACCTCCATGAGCTCGGGTTAGTGGGATTTTATGTGGTTCTCCTGTTGATCGGAGTTTAATCCTCCTGTAGTCGAGTCCGGTAGCAACGACAGTTCTCCTCCGCGCCTGTAGGGGGCGGTGCTGCTGTGGCTGAACAGGAAGCAGCTGCGGCTGCTGAATCAACTGGAAACTGATGGAAACCGTCAGTGTGCTGTTAGCTTCGAGCTGGAGACAAATAATCATTTTCTGTGTTTTTTAAATCAGTTTTTACATTTTTATTGAACTAATGGAGAAGATGTCCGGTGGCTCTGTAGGTGAAGATCTGTTTGACAGTATTGTAATGGCGGATGAAAGGTTAGTTTACTGTTTTACTTATATCAATCCATCCAGTCACTCTAGGTTTTCGACACACACACACACACACACACACGAACACACAACTGTAATTTTTACAAAGCCCAGAAAATTTGATAAATACTGTCAGTGAATTTCGATTTTGTAAGTAATTTTCCAGAAGTTTCTTGGTCATACTTGTACATTGCTGCAGAAAAATAAAATAATAATAATAATTATAACAGTACTACTACTACTACTACTACTAATAATAATAATAATAATAATAATACTAAAAAAAAACTTGTGTGCTGTGCTTTTCAGGTTTCGGGGAAAGGGGTACCGTGAGGGCTTTGAGAGGGGGAGTCACAGAGGATTGCTGGAGGGCCGCAGACACGGAGCCTCTCATGGGGCCAAACTGTCCTCTGAGGTGAGTCAGTGGAGGTAAATAGAGGAAACGAGGCTGATAGATGAGATTGGAAGGGGGCTGCAAGGAGTCAGTATCAAGAAGAGTTCAGAGAGAAGTTTTAGAAACATTTCATAAGGTTAACCAAACATGGACAACATCTCTGAATAAGGGAAAGACAGACAACTTTATCATTACTTGAAGGAATGAAAAAAGTATTTAAAAAAAAAAAAAAAAACAGGGGGAAACAGAGAGCAGGGAGCAAAACACATCCTTATTCCAGAAGAAATTCCAGTTCTGCAGGAAGCAGCAGGATCAGGGCCAAAATCACTATATTGATATCACAGTATAAGATATAATAAGAGATAAGATAAACCAGTGGTTCTCAAGTCCAGTCCTCGAGCCCCCCCGTCCTACATGTTTTGGATGTTTCCCTGCTCCAACACACCTGATTCAAATAATCAGCTCGTTATCAAGCTCTGTACCGGCTTAATAACGAGCTAATCATTTGAATCAGGTGTGTTGGAGCAGGGAAACATCGAAAGGATGCAGGACAGTGGGGCCTTGAGGACTGGACTTGAGAATCAGTGTAAGGAAATTTGCAGCATTAACAGCAGCAAGGGATCAGCACAGCAAATGTGAAAGAATAAGTACACTCTTCATGGACAATAGTGAGCTTAGTCCTTCACAAAAAAATGTTATAGGCCTATACAAAAAAGAGAAAAAATGTTAGAAACAGCAACAACATAACAACTCGAGAAAAAATGGTTCATTCTACACAGTGAACAGAGAAGAATCAGACATGTTATTGCACATTATTTGAGTTTTTATACCTTGGAAAATGTAGTTATACGCAGTTATGATAAATATCTAGTCTGGCAATATTGCACATAGAGGTAGTATTGAGTTATCGTTCATTAGTTGTGCCAAAAAACCTGGACTACTGGGGGCAGACCTGGTTCAACAGTCTGACTGCAGCAGGTCTTTGTCTTTGGTGCACATGATTAACAGGCAGGATAGAGAGAGAAAACATAACTTACTGTAACTCTGTTAGCTACTCAAAATCCCAAAGTGTGTGTGAGTAGGTCGTATCTATCTGCTTAAAGACTATCTACAAAATAATCTGTATTATAAAGTGTCATGGCATTTCTTTTTAAGTTTGCTTCATAGAAAACTCAAATGTGTTCTTGTCTCTGCTGTGTCATATGTTTTCATCTTTTACTCTGTCCATCTCTCCGCAGATTTCCTTCTATTACGGGTTTGCTGTCACATGGAAATGTCTCCTACAGCATAACACAGATGTGAAATCCAAGTATGAACTATTTCTAGATCCAATGTGACGGTTGTTAATTTCTGTCAACACCTGAAACATGATTAAAAATATTTGTGTGTGTGTGTGTGTGTGTGTCAGGAAGCGTCTGAAGGCTCTGGATACTCTGCTGGGTCTGATCCAGGACTGTCCTCAATCTGACCCTCAGTCTGTGAAGCTGCAGGAGGACATGGACAGACTACGAGCCAAGTTCAGACAGGTACACTGTTTTCACCTGAACATGAAGGTTTAGTCTCCTGCCGCTGCCAATCGGTGGTGCAACAGTTAGTCAACAGAAATCAAACAATTTACCTTAAGGCCGTAATTCAAGACCAGTACTCAATCTGCGACCAGGTCTCTTTTCATAACCCGGATTATGGTTATTATGGGTGAATAGATTTCTCCAAATTTAAAGATATAAAATACTTAAAGATAGAGTCAGAAAGGTCATCACAGAAAACTGGTGTTTACGCTAAAGGACCAGGGTCACTCTAAACTCTTCACTCTTTAAAGAAGAATTAGCATTTGCTGTGCTAAAGCCATCGACACAAAGCATTTATCTCTCACCTGCTGACCTCTCTGCTGTTCTTCAGGTCTGCTCCATGATCAATGTCCCCGCTGACTTCAAGGACTTTGTCAAAACCTCTGAAGGGACGTCTTTCTGAATGTCTCCACCAATGGGGATGAGGCTGACGATGATGAAGGGGAGCGTAGCTGACCTCTACGTCCTACTGTGCTTTGGGCGGCAATAGGTCTGTGGTGGATTTGTTGGAGGGTTTGAGGGTGAAGCAGTGAAAGCAGAGCCAGAGTCCTCTCTGAACTAAGGATCAGTGTGAGGAGCTCAATGGAAGTCCTGCAGGGTCTGAACCTGGACCACAGATAGGAGGAGAGAAGACCTCTGCTGACAGGGTGGGGTTATTGCAGTGATTAAGAGTTTTCATAAGAAACTGAACGTCAGAGTCCTGAACGGTCTAATCAGTCTGTGAGAGATAAAACGTGTTTTTCTTTGAAGGAAATAAACAGAAAAGCCTCAGCTCGAGACACTTACCATAAAGCAGCCTGATGATAAAAGAGACTCTTTTAAAACTTTTTATGTCATCTTAAAAGTTGGTGTTCATGAGTTCATCCAATATCATACAGCTGAGGAAAACCGTGGTATCAGCTGAAGTAAATAAACCTTTTGGAAAGACTGTTCAGCTTAGACAAAAAGTAGCGGATGGACATCAAATAGATGTCAGGGACCCCCAAAACAGACTTTGACTTGTATGCTGGAGTGACTTACATTTTTGATATGGTGGCAAATAAAATCCTGGACCCTGATTTTTTTTTCCCCTGGCATCTCTAGGTTTAGGTTTAGAGTTAAACCTTCAGCAGCTCTGGAAATGAGAGATACACAGATTGATTGTTTGGCCGTCATTTATACATGACTTTTTTTTTTTCAAAATTATTTTCACCCCAATATCTGTCTTGTATTTCTTTTTTAATACATGAAATGGCTGACAGAAACCCTAGAGTCCCTTGTGGCAGTATTTTACTTATTTTACAGAGCTAAGTATATTTTTCCCATCTATATTTATTGTATGAAATATTTACTAAAATTTAGCAGTTTTATTTCTCTTGCTTTTAGAAATATTAAATTTTTTCAAATGCAAAACAAACAAACAATGTGATATCAGCATTATATATTGGCCACTGCCTGACCTACTCTTTCATTATCAGAATCTGTATACTAATCGGTAGACCACTACTGAAAATAAATCATGTACCATCACTTTTTGAGTCTCGTTTTTTTTTTTTACAGCAGCTGTAACAGAACAACTTTACACTCTTGAAAGTGAGAGGGAGATGCATTCTTATAGAATAAAGACTTTGTTGTTTTTAACCTGGTTGCTATTCCTCCTTAAATTGTCAACATGAACAACTGAAATATGACAAGATAAATGTATTTGTTTCGCACCAATTGTACAAAGAAAACTAACAAAGAGCATGGAAAGAAATATGAAAATGTGCTCACTAGTGTAAGATTTACCTGGCACGCCCACTGTTGGAGTGCTTGAGTCCCAAAATAGTCTTTCCCTAACAGGCAGCATTTATGTTGTAAAGTCCCTGATTTCAGGGTCTTACTGTCCCTCTAAATGGGACACAACAGTTAATTTACAAACAATTAATAAGTCTCTCTTATACAGTGTCAGATTGTCTGTCTGGAGCCCGGTCTACCAGCCTCTACAAACTTAAGCATCATAGTTCTTACAGGGCTCTATTTTTGTTCGCACCGGTGAGGCGGCGGAGGGCGGCGAGCCCCGCGCAGTTGTATTTTCGTCTGGCGGAGCCCGGCGTAAGGCGAGTTTGGTATTTTCGTGGACTGAGTCGCACGGAGGCGAGCCGAGATTCGCCAAGCTGGGCGTGGTGGCGTGGCAGGGGGAGGTGTTGACAGAATCAGCTGGCGCAGTGACATTTTCGTGCTCGCCACCGGCGTGTAACGTGCACTGAAAGCTCGCCGATTCAAACCTGGTCAGCTTTCAGCGCAAGGCGGAACGCAGCTGGTCTAGTAGTATTTTGGTAGACCGGCGGCGTATCGACATACGTCACTGATGCCTCACCGGCAGGTTTCCACAGTGTCAGGCAGATTTCAGTGCAATAAATAATCATCATCAACTATTAATCTGAGTCAGCACATACATTTAGATCTATATAGATATATTCTGATCTATATCTGATCTGATGAGCGCGTTTGGCACGCGTTTGGCACGCGTTTGGGCACACAACCTGACCGAATCAATACAGCTGAAACTGCATCAAATTAAATTAAATATCTAGTAAATAAACACACATGATGAAGTTAACAAGATATGTAATTCGTCTCCCTCCTTTTCTTTCTTCCTCTTATTTCTCGCACAGCTCGACCTGGACACGTCTCCGTGTCCTCTGTCCGTCTTCCTGCTGCTGCTGCGGCTGAACAGATGATTTGTTTCAGTGCTCAGATGCGTGATCTACTTTAAGCCGACATACGGATATTATAATATTCAGTTTTGTGGGCCAAATTTATTTTATATGCCAACATCTATGAAAGAAAGAGCCAGGCCACGGAGCGCGATGCGTCATTTACGCACAGATGGTTCTGATTTTAATGCCATTTTTGGAGTTTATGTTGTGATCTGTGCGCTCAACCCACCTTTGTCACGTGAGGTTTGAATATATGCAACTTTATGTGAGTGTCTTTATTTGTGGAAAAGGGTGTTTGTCTTACCAGTGGGTCCAACATTACGCACACCAAATCCATCTGTGCTCAGATGAGAGAGTGTGGAGGACACTTGTTGAGGAGCTGCCCTCTGTCGCCATCGTGTGGCATAACTGTCTTCAGACATCTCTTGATCTCTTTGACTACTTCATGAAAATAGTAATACGCCTCGCCGGTGGCGGATTTAAAGGCAAGGAGAGGAGCTTATTTGATTGGTGGAAACAGGTCTCGGCTGTGTTAAACCGACTCCACGCCATCTCTCCTCCCCGTCTATGACTTATGCTGCCGGGAGGAGGTGAGTTAGGGAGGGGGGATACTTAGGCCGGGCTGCGCGGCTCACCAAAATACCAAAATGTGCTTGGGAACGCCTTGTCAGCGCGGCGGATCTGATTGACGCTGCGCTTGCGGCACGTCTCCGGCGAGGCACCAAAATAGAGCCCACAGTGTCCATCCTCAGCACTGAAAGCCTGTAAGGTGGTGTACTGAAGTCCAACAGCAGGAGGCAGCAACAAGCCAGCAGCTCTGACAAATACTAAATCTAAATACTAAATACAAATGCACACCACACTTTTCAGATTTTTATTTGTTTAAATTTTTTAAAAACCATGTATCATTTCCGTTCCACTTCACAATTATGAGCTACTTTGTGTTGGTCTATGACAAAAAATCACAATAAAATACTTTTAAGTTTGTGGTTGTAGAGTGACAAAATGTGAAAAAGTTCAAGGGGTATGAATACTTTTTCAAGGCACTGTACATGACAATTATTTTAATGTTATTCTAAGTTAATTGATTGATGTAAATGAAAGTTAATATAATTGATTTGAATCCATATCATATAAAGGACTTAAAAACTGACCATTATGTGAATATTTTAAGCCAATATCTGGAAACTGGTAATTAAATATCCTTTCAAAACAGTTTGTTTTTAAAGTAATAATAGCAGGACTTTATCATTTTCGTATAGCAGGATTTCAGGTCGCGCTATTAAGGTTATACAATATGCTGCCCACCAGAGGGCGCAGCTGTAATTCAGTGACTCAACCATTGTAATGTAAGACTCCCATTCTCAAAGGTGTTTGCTGAATGAGTACAGTGATGATAAAAAGCTCACTGGGTCATTTTTTTCTGAATCAAATGCTTTAAGATGATACAGACTCCAACTTTTTTGTTATTTTTTTAAAACTTTCATTGATGTGTATTTTACTGACTTTACTATTTTACTAATGTGTCATTTTTAATGTTCTCTAAGGTGTCCTTGAGTGCCCTGAAAGGCGCCTATAAAATGTATTATTAAATGTATTTTTTACGTCAACTTGATGGAGAGAGGGTAGTACAAATAAGCCTGTTTGGTTAATTTTAGAGACAGTTTGTGTTTCATCATCAGGGATAATGTAGTGATGAAGAATCTGTGTCTCCTTCGCGCTTTGCAAAGGAATCCCCTTTTTTCAATCCAGGGTCCAAGTTTTACATACAGTAGAGCAGTGGTTCTTAAGTCCAGTCCTCGAGGCCCACTGTCCTGCATGTTTTGGATGCTCCAACACACCTGATTCAAATGATCAGCTCGTTATCAAGCTCTGTAATGGCTTAATAACGAGCTGATCATTTGAATCAGGTGTGTTGGAGCAGGGAAACATCCAAAACATGCAGGACAGTGGGCCTCGAGGACTGGACTTGAGAACCACTGCATTAGGGTCTGAAGACATTCATAGATGTTTTGAAAGTCTACAGAGGATTACTTCAGCCTGCAATGAAACAGGTTGCAGTGTAATCCTTGGGGCAAATCAAAGTCCAGTAAGTGTCTGACAGCAAAACTGAGAGGATCCTTAAAGATCTAAACCTTGCTGTTTAAGAGAGAGGTATAACCCTAACCCTAACCCAGCCTTCTGAGATACGTTTACCAAAATCCCATTAAAGCTTGTCTAAAGTGGAACACTGTCCTGCAGATTGAGGAATCAAAATCTGACACTATTTTTTTTTTTTTGAAATCATGTATGCTGTGTGTCCTCTGCTCTACAGAGGAAAAGGACCACCCAGCTTGTAAATGAAGCTCAGCTCAAAAGCCACCAGTGATGGTATGGAGATATTTGAGTGCCCTTGGCATTGCTAGTTTACAGCCCAAAGAAAGGAACAATTAGTGCTAAACAGTATATACAGGCTTTTGACTGATACATGCTGCCAACCAAGCAATGCTTTATTCAGGGAACAGCTTACGTAATTCAGTAAGCTGATACTGTACTCGCTTCATAGAAGAGAAACTGTCAAGCAGCTCAAGTCCTACACTAAACAAGCACAAGGTAACATGTCACTTTCAATATGAAGTTTGGAATTGACTGTGAGTAGAAAGACAGCATGGTTTGGGACACAGCCTTGTTTTTTTAGGTGTCTCCCCCTGCTGGACAAAGGAGAGATGGCAGGTTTAGGACACTTACACTACAGAGGGCTTAATGACATCCCCATATCTCACTGGAATCACACACTTAACTCAAGTAATCGTCTCGTTTTCATATGTTGAATCAACTTTTATTGCATTTTCACAGGACAGATGACTTGTTTGAGTATCTATTGATTATTAAATGATAATTTTGTGTTTTGAGACCTAAGACTATCACAAAGAATGACCCAGTCTGATTGAACTTTAAGGAACTTTATTTCACAGACAGACAATGCTCATTGTTAAACTCTCTTGAAGTTAACTCTAGATAAAAGCAGGTCAGAAACCTCTGCTGTAAACAGTGTGTGTGCAGAGTGTGTACATGCTCACACACAGACACACATACACAACAATAACAATAGTATCAGGAGGTACCAGAGAAGACCAGAGGGACTTTTCCAGCCTTTGTCAGCCAGCCTGCTTTCTATTCTGGATCCAAACTCACCCTGACAATGAACCAACAGGACCTTGTGTGTGTGTGTGTGTGTGTGTGTGTGTGTGTGTGTGTGTGTGTGTGTGTGTGTGTGTGTGTGTGTGTGTGTGTGTGTGTGTGTGTGTACAGTAGCAGCTGGTTTATGCAGTGTCAGGCAGCAGGTGAACGCTGTCGTGTAGTCGGCAGCTTCTGAAGGCAAATAGAGAAAAGAGAAAGAGGGGGAGGAGGGGGAGGATGAAGGGGTGATGGGTCCAGCCTGCATTCAGATGAGTGTTTCAGGACGACTTGTACCCTCTTAAAGTCAGAAAAAGAAATCAAAGCCATAGACAGAGAGAACTTTTATCGACTAAAAACCACAGAAAGAGGGAAGGAAAGAATCGATTGAGAAAAAGGAGGGGAGGAAGAGGAGGAGAAAGGGCAAGGAGGTGGAAGAATAATGATCAGAGGAGGAGAAGAGAGCATGAGGAGGAGCAGAGGGGAGAGGAGGAGGAGGGAGCGAGGTCTTTGAGAGAATGTAGAGGAATGTGGGGAGCAGGTGGTGAGTGGTGACATGAAAAGCTGTGGTGACAAATGCAGCCGTCCGGCCGGCCGCAGCACAGAGAGCTCTGAATGAGACCAAGGCATCAGATTTCAGTTTGGAGGAGCAGGAGGAAGAGGAGGAGGTTGGTGGGAGAGGAGGGGCCTCCTCCATGATAACAGCCTACATTCAGTGTTTCTGTAGCTCTTTTCTGGATCTTTGTTTACATTCAGATGATAGTTGAGGGTTTTTTCACCTAATAATCAAATGGACTCTTTTCTTTATATCCCTTTTTTCTGTTTTAGTTTTCTTTTTAGGCTCGGGCTCTGAGCTTTAGTCAAAGTGTTCATTTTGACTAGAGACTGCAGTTAAGTTTAAGTCTCAGTCATTTCAGAAAACTGTAGTTGATTTTAGTCATATGTTGGTCTTTCTGTCATGGTCTGAATCAGTCAGTGTTGA